TCCCTCCCTCTACCCGTTAACCGTTGAAGGGTGAAGCGAGGTAACTAGGTCAGCCCCAGGTCAATTTTAAAGCAATGTGGCGGCCGCAGTCTATGTCCAGAACATGCCTCTGGACTCTCTCACTCTCCCTCCATCGCTCTCTTTCTCTCCGTGTCTCTCACGCACACACACACGCGCACACATGCATACAACACCAACATAAGCTATCACACAAAACATTAGTGAATGATGGCCACTGGCAAATCAACAGTCTGAAACCACACAGCTAGTTGAATTAGGCTAAAAACTCTGCTCTCACTACAGTAGCACGGGGAAGATTTTCTAGGTGAAGTATGGAAGTTTATAGAAGTGTAGTTAAATTATTTAGGGTTTTTTTTATTTAATTGCAATTTCTGCACCAAGATATGCAATCGTGCACCGTGATTTTATGATGTTATATTTCAAATGTAGCGAATGATAGAACAATATGTGATAGGTTTGGTTTAATTTAGTTAGTTTTTATTGCAAGAAATCTGAAGCATTCTCCATTTCATAAACACATTTAGGGCTTTGATAAAGTTTCAAATGTAAAGGTTAGTGAGAATATTTTTAAATTGCACCACTAGCTATAAGGGAACTGGACCTTAAACTTCCTCAGGGCAAATGAAATATGAGGTGAATGGACTTGATGAAACCGTGAATGAGTGGAGAGATGTAAGTAGGCCACATCGCCACATACTGTAGCACATTATTCCTCTCTGCAACAATGAGTATAAATGTACAAATGGGTTTTGATATTACATGTATATTATGAGGCTATGAGCAGTTATTTTTGTATTCTGGAATTCTGAAAGGCAAAATATAAATAGATACAAACTCATTGGTGTATAATAGATTGATATATAATTCAAAATATTAGTGTGATTTCTTATAAAGAAGCAGTAATTGCAGAGGTGTTTAAAAACCACCTCCACTCTAAAATCCATTATTTTTTCTGGATTATTTTTGAAACTCTGTACATGCTGTACTACGCGTGCTGTTCTTACATCTAAATAACTCCCAGCCTTTAATTTCACCCTGATAATTGAAGGTTAAAAGTAGGAAAACTAATTTAGAAATGAAAGATGAGCGGTTCAGTTTTAGTTTCTTCCCTCTACCCCTGATTCTCCAACTTTCTACCTGAGGTTTCTTTTTTTTTTTTCTCCCTCTCTTAACTGTGTCGCTGGCTGGCCAGAGGTGTTTGCTATCTCTGCTTGTTCTGAATGTATTTTTTTTTCTCCCTTCCCTCCCACTCTCACAGACCCCTGCAGTGGATCTCTGGGAAAAATGGCCTCTGTCTTTTTTCAGTAGCTTGAACAGTAATATAGCATGTGTCAGGGAATGGAAAACAAGGCTAAAAAATATGCAGCAAGAAGCAAACTGGTAGGAATGGATGGCTGAGCCCGAGGCTCGGCCTGTAGCTGCTACCAAGGAAGGAAGTGACTCTAATAGCCCAGCATAGTCCCCCACCCCCTTCTTCATTCTTCTTCTTCTACTACTACTTCTTCTAAACTACTTTTTCACTGCGGCCTTGACTTCTTATTGCCTTTGTCTTATCTGCAAATGCAAGCAAATGTAGGTCACATACAGTGGCAGAAATCCATCCTCCTTGTGCATTTAATTTGATCGCCACTTTCTCAGTGCTGTGTAGCGATAGCCGCTGTAGAATTCATCACCCTTGTACGTATTCTGCAACTACCCTGCATTACTACCGCAATTATGTTTAATGTGTTACAGCGGCACGGAAATCAGTACACAAGACTCAAGCGGCTCGTGGCCAGCTTGCCTCGGTATCATTTCTTGTCATCTAACTACGACTGAAAGTTGATTTTTCCTTAAACTATTTCTCATGGGGATTGCGCAAAAAATGGAGCAATGGTTTAGCAGGCATGCAATTTCATACTTTTTAATCTCCCTTCTTCCCTTCCTCCCACTTTCCAATTGTTTCTTTTTCTTTGAAATGCTACACTAATGTTTCGTTTCCTCAGGGTGTCAAGACAGGAGGCGCTGTTGGCGGCCAGGTTCGGATGCCCGTGGTGATCACACAGTCCATCAGAGCGCAAGGTAAGACATCTGCAGGCCCTTTCCAGCCACATTTGATTGAATCTCCTGAATTCACTATGTGACATTTTTATTTCAGGCGTCCATGCCTCTCAGAAAAACACTGAAGTGTAGGTTTGCTTAAAGACGAAAGATTAAACAAATACTAGTCTGAATCTAAATGCATCTTTCAGTGATGCTGCATGATTTTTCAAGATTTTCAAACCCAGCCTGACCTCCTGAGCCAGCAAAAAGGGGTTAAACACGAGATAGCCATTAGTGAAACACTAAATGTTCTCTCAGTAGGCTGTAAGATGTGTAAACAGGCAGGAGCCATAGAGAGAACAGGTGTTTTTTGCTGTCTGGTTATAAAGCCTTCTCAAACATTTGCGCTGCTGCTTACTCACACTGATTCACAAACACTCTTCCCACAGAAGCCCACAAATATCGCCCCAACACCAACCGGGTGTAACGCTCCCCTAAGAGAGCTGTGTGCTCTCAAGTGGTGTGTATAATGTGTGTACGTGTTTACCTGTTTGTGCTTGTGTGTGTGTGTGTGTGCGTGTGCGTGTGTGTGTGTGTGTGTCTGTGTACGATCGGAGGTGCATACAAATTTGATCTGCCCCCTTCCCCAAGATTGCCTGCAGTGAAAGATCTGTAGGTTGTTTTATGCCCATAAATTGGAATGCGGGGATAGTTCTAAAAATACTTTTCTGTGCCTCTTGGCTAGGAACATGCCTGTTAAAATCAAGTTTAAATTCACTCTGGCAGTCCTTGTGCCTCTCTGGAAAACGTGTCTCGGAGCAGGATGCGGTTTAGGAGTGTAAGGAGAGCCGGTGAAGCGCAGTGATATTGACAGAGCGACGCTCTCCGCACCAACCTGGGGAGAGCGACAGTACTGCTCCCCCACCCCCACCCCCCCCCCCACCCATCTAACCCTGTGAGGATGACAGAGACAGCTGAAGGTAGTCGTTAGACAGGAGGATATTTGACGCAGATAGAAGGGGACACTTCAATGATAACATTACTTCTTTCCTTTTTGTTTAGTGTTTTCTTCTTTGTTTTTCCCCCCCTTCTTTCGTCAACAGGAACAATGGGAAAGGGAGCCATCATCCAAGCAGGCAAAAGTCCCATGGGCCTGCCTGTTCAGATCTCTGGGAATCAGAAAAACAAGCTCAACGACCCCGGAGGAGGCTCTTTCAGGTACAGCTCTTCTCGCCAGGAGACTTGACTGCAGAGCACGTGCTGTTCCCGGCTGCCGTCACATGGGGGCAGCATTTCACTAAGCAGCTCCAGCATGACTACAGGCTACACTCTCAGCTAAGGCTATGAGTGTTTATCCGAGTTGCCTGCCTGGCCACCTGGCTGCCTGCCTGGCTGGTTGATCGGTGGTCCTTTCTCTCTGCGCCCACCACATAGCAACACACTGCCAGCCAATAGATCACCCTCACGATCGCCCTCCTTGTGTCAGTGTCACAACTCATCGACGGGATTGCAAATGAGCTACATCTTAATTTAGAAATAAGATAATTGTGTCCAGATGGTTGGAATTTCTGGATGCGGTTCTGAAAATACCTTTTGGTTAAGTCAAACATACAGTATTTAGCCTGCAGCTTCTCTCTCTCTCTCTCTCTCTTGCTCTCTCTCTCTCTCTCTCTCTCTCTGGTCTTGTCTCTGCTTCAGCTGGGCCTTTGTCTCAAAACATAAAAGGTTCATCGCCCACATGCTGGCCTTTGTGGTCCATGTTTTGTGTGAGTCTTTATGTGTTTCTTTTTGTGTTTGTTTGTCTGTGTGTGTGCAGCCTTTACGTGCTGGTGTGTATGTATATGTTTACACAGATTCCTTCACTTCTCTGTGTTTGTTTGTGTTCGTGTCTCTGCATGAGTGCACGTGAACATATGTGTATATCCTAAAAAATCTAAGAACATTTGTCCGCGTATCAAATGTGTGTATATGCGTGTATCGACGGGAGCAAGGGGTTTAGGATTGCCCCTGTATGACCGGGCTGGGGCAAGAAGAGTCTGGGTCACATGGGCCAACGGGTTCATGGTAATGGCTCCCGTCTCCTGAGGGGAAAGGCAGCGCCCGGGGCTCTGATTGATAAACCAATAAATCTTTAGCTGCGTTGGTAATTAAGCTGTCAGGCTCGCTTGTTACTGACGACCTTTTTCCCCCCTGCGGTGATCACAGTGGCCCACCACACACAAACGCACTGGTTTCAACATAAGCCCAATAACACACAGTGCCACTGTCACAGAAGAAACACGTCACTGACAGTTTGTCGCATGTTTGTATCCAGGTCAGGTGATATTTTGCCTGCTCTGCATTTGTGCGGTGAACAAGCTGCACAATGCACAGTCCCTTAACACCATCCTTGCTTTCATACGTTTATTTGTCTCATCTTTTGCTTTCTTCTGACAACATGCACTTGCTAAACTTCTTTAACATCACATTTTTTTACTTTAAGTCGCATACAAGTTTGCGGAGCCTGATATTGATTTGAATGTTTATTGAGTCATTGACCTCTGTCAAGATTATCTTCATCTCTGTTGGCGTTTCTTCACTCATGCTCAGCATTTCTGAGTTTCTTCCACTTTGTCTTTCATCTTTATTCTTAGTATACGCTGCAAACAGGGCGCATTAAACTCTTTCCTTGTTAAGGTTTCAGCTGGAGCTCAGATGGTTGCTGGTGTCTGAAACCTCTCCGTTCTGCAGTCTCATGCGCTGTTTATTGTTTGCTGTCACTTTTCTTACCCGAGGATATAAACTTGCTGGAACAGAGACCAGTGTTAGAAGGTGATCCATCCGTCGCCATACGATCTTCTCACCACATCCAGAGACCTGCAGCCTAAATGCGATGATATGGCGTGTTAATGGAAGTGGCTGCTGTTTTTACTCTTCATCACAATGGAAAAAAACTGGAGTTATATTAGCTCTACAAAGTTCTTTTTGAATTATTTTCTGTGCAGCATTCCATTTGCATAATATAGTCAAGTCAGGTCAGATTTATTCATAACAGTATTGACATAATTTTATCAGTTACTTCCAAATCAAAAAGGATTAAGATAAGAGCACAGCACACACAAAGTCTGATAGTGAGAGACAAAATTACAGTGAAGTCAGGGCAGATTTATTCACAAAAGTCCTATTGACCTAATGTTAAGTACTTGTATAGCAACAAAGAGGGGAGAAAATATCACTACATGTTGACTGTAAGAAAAAAAAAAAGAGTCTCCAGCCGGTGTGGTCAGTCAGCATCCACCAGCACTGCTTCGTGTTCAGCTGCAGTCTGGGACTGATGTGTGTATGGCTGTCACTCTGAACCACTGGTCCCAGCGGGCCAGCTGTAGCACAAACACACACATACACACTGCAGGGCTTGTGGGGTTTCCAATGTAGCTACAGCCTTCTGTGTAAGTGCTTGTGTCGGTGTGTGCATGTGTGTGTAGTTTACAGTACAGAGTGAAAGCAGCTGTCTCTGTGTCCCCCTCCTCCCCTCCTCATCTCTCTGTAAACACTCGACATCCGCTGTAATCACTGGCGAGCCAGCCGAGGCCCTCAGCCCTCTGCCAACCTCCGAGCTCAGCCTCAGCCCCTCAAATCCAACCCTGTCCTACATGGTGGACGCACATCCGCGCGCATTAACACACAAACACTGGCATAGTTACACAGGAAAAGACACACACACTCACACAGATACACATGCAAAAAGAGGAACAAAAGTTTGAGTTCATCAGTCACTGTTGCCAGTGGATGCAAAAGTCCACCAGCTCTTTTCCATCATTTACCAGCAAAGTGAGTTCATTATGCCTTTGTGGTCATATCCTTTGTTGCTCTATAAATTGCTATGTGATGTGCCTGTTTTGCTAAGAAGGGCTTTACAAATAATTTTGACTCAATTAGAACTTGAAAGTGACCTCCCAAAAATTGTTGATGCAGAGACTTGGAAACACGACAGCCACAAGATTAGATTATGTTCGGATTGGGTGCTGCGCCACAATAAAGATGCTCGAAAACTCCACGAAGAAAACGCTGCTACTCCAAAGCATCTAAAGGAAAAGTACATGTCGGAAAGTCTGGGATGCTAATAGCGTGCATTCTAATCCACCAGCAGGGTATTTTAGCACACACCTTAGTCAGAGCGTCATCTGCGTTACATCGTTTTCTAGCCAGGTATTTTTAATGCTGTGAATAATTACAGCCTGAGTGTGGGTGGTCTGTTCAATTAATAACAGTTACTTCTTAAACATGCAGCAATATTTAGCTTGTTGCTGGATTCTTTGTCCCCTCTTGAGCCACCGCTGCCACCAGTGGTATCATCCATTTGGGTCATGAACACATATCCCACCAGCTGCCCAGTAAACCTCAGGCTGCTTTGTGGAGAATACTTCTCCAGTGGTGCATGTCTCTCAGTGTGGGCGCAACAACATGCATGGCCTGGGTGTTAGTCACAGGGATCAATCAGGGCCCCCTGCCTGGGCACAGAGACCTTTATCCACAGGGGTTTCGGGGGGGTGGATTGGTGTGAAGGTGGCGGCGGTGGTGGAGCGGGGCACAGAAGATCTGGATGCACCCCACACACTCGCACACACAGCCTCTAAATGGCAAGTGCAATCCTCCCACCACCTATGGCATGCCCTCGCTGAAACACAAGCTTGATATGGAAACGACATGCATATGTATTCATGTGGCCGCCGGCTCCATGTCCCCAAGCCAACCCAAACCAATAACTGAGAGGCTGCTCTTTAGCTTCTGTGGAAGCTAATTACATCTCTGCTTTATTAGTGCCGAGGTATAGTCAGGAATATTTTGCATTTCATATCTCATTCCCTCCTTTTAATGTCAGACCTGTCTTTGGCATTCTTATTTGATTTGAGCCACAGCTATCCCAAATAACCCTGAAATGAGACCATCCAAGAAAAAGAGATTACCAGTGTTCAAGGATTCTGGTTGATGTTTTGTGTACCTAAAACAGTAGCAGGCGATGTAGTCATCTCATTCCAAATGTGTGTGCTACACAGTAAAATCAGTGTAAATGATTATTCATCTATACTACTTACACATTTACTGTAAATGTTAACCAGTGAAAATGAAGCAACACATGCTTTGATCTCTGGGATGGAGCTATAGAGCAGCTGTAGTTGGGCCAGCACAGTGTCTAAGAAAGACTTCTAAGAATGACGTCATCTAAGCTTCGCCTGTTGTTTAATATAGAGACATATTGGTTTCACTGACTTTGTCACCACTCAGATGACTGGAGTCCTCATTACAAAATTATAAAACGTATAGGGACTGTTAAATATACAGTGCTTGACACATTTCTTCGACCACCTGACTAATTTGTTAAGCGCTGTATACATCCAGCATCATGAAGATCTGTAATGCACTCTCAGCTCTCAGCGTTTTACCGTTTTGAACAGGAATGAGGAATTTCAAACTGAATTTATACCCAGATTTGAGCCGGCTCACTGAGCTTCTCTGAGAAGTCAGAAATTAAACAAGCCTAAACATTCAACCACTAAAGCTAATTTTTCTGTTCAGGAATGCAAGTAAATGACTGTAGTTTGACATCTTCATTAAGAAATTATAATGTGCTTCACTATTTCTTCAGTTTTTTTTTTTTTTTTTGTAAAACAGTAAATTTGAAAATTCATAGATACAATAATAATTATATTTTAGCATTAAAAATATGATTTTGGTTAAAGAGCTTCTACATACTGGTGTATTTACTGTTGCAGAAACATAAAAAATGCTCTTAATTTAGGCCAGCTGTGGCATGAACCTGACATTGGGTGGTGGTCTAATAAAATTGTTGAACATATTATTTGCTAACTATACTAATGCCACATATCCCAATAGCTATGGATTTACCCTAAGCCCTTTACAGGACTTGTTGATACAATGAATAGATTTTTTAAAGTGTTACATCCATGATGGTAATGAGGTGAACTTTGTCTTTCTCATTGTCAGTTTTCTCATTATTTTTTAAAAATGTAGCTACTGAACTGACAATCTGCTGGAGATTTCAGTTTACATCGTGTCTGACTAAAAAAAACATCTTTTACATGCATATAAATAGTGTGCAATTAATGTAACATAGAAGTCCAGAAACATGTTCAAAAGATATTTAATTAATGATCCGTCCTTTTGTGTTGTCTTCAGAGTTGTAGTTCTCTACATCCTGAGGAGATTAGCATACACGGGGTGAGGGTTAGCCAAAAACATTAAAACCACTTGCGTAATATTGTGTAGATCCTCCACATGCTGCCAAACAGCTCTGACCAATCAGGGCGTGGATACTGGACCTCTGAGGGTGTCCTGTGATATCTGGTGTTGGGATGTTGACGGTGGATTCTTTGACTCCTGGGGGTTGTGGGGTGGGGACTGTTCCCACACATTCCTTGGATGCTGGTAATTTAGGTTGGTAACGCCTCGGGCTCTTTGTCATGTTCCTCAAGCCATTCTTGAGCAGTTTTTGCGGTGTGGCGGGCTGCGGTAGGGAGGATGGCTGTAGGGTCATGTGCCTAAGCTCTAACAACGTTTAGGTAGGTGGCAACGTGACATCCACATGAATGCCAGCAACCAAGGTTTCCAGGCAATGTAACAAGAAGATCAATGTTAATCTCTTTACCTGTTGGTGGTTTAAATGTTGTGACAGATCAGTGTAGTTGGTAAATGGTCACTTAACCGGTGACTTTGCCCACCTTGTTTGATTTGCTGTCACCATTGCCCCACATAGGGTTAAAAAAATATTTTTCTTTTGAAGTTTTGCATTTAGTCACTGGCGTCTGGCACTCTGTTTATAGCGACAAAGAGAGTTTCGATACTGCTGTATCACTCAGTAGAGAATTGTAATACTAGGCTTCAAAACATTTACTCTCTTTGTACAGCTTGCTGTCAGTGCAGAGGTATACAGATGTCATTTGACTGATTGGCAGACAACAGCTGACTTTGGTTTTTTAGTGATCTTAAATAATCACTTTTGCACCATTTACGTCATTCACATCTATAAGCTTTTAAAATAGCAGCCTTCTTTTTTTTTTTTTTACCTGAGTGCGTATGGCCCGAGGCGTGTTTGTATTTAAGGCAGGTCAAGTTATCCAAGAGGACATGATGAAGAAAGGTGCACAGCCTAAGGTGCAGCACAGGGTATAATCTTGTGTATCCATGCTTGTGTTGTTGTGTAGATCCTCTCTGTGAAGGCGTAATTAGTGCTGGAGGAGAGCAGGAAAAGAAGAGGGGAAGGTAGAGGTGTGTGAGGTTCAGGGAGCTACTCTAATCGTCTTTGTCAACCTCCCGCCGTGGTGTCAAGTTTCATATCGGCTCTCTGCGGCCGCACCGAGGAGCAGGAGGGCCTCGGCGGGGTAGAGTTGGCTGACGGTGTGTGCCCACACTCCAAGACGCCTGAAAGAACTCGGGGCCCCGCGCTGCACACATGCATACACAAAAGCACAGCAACACGCGCACAAGCTCTGTCGCAACCAGCAACAGTGGCATGAACGTAAATGACTGTGGAGGTGAGCCAGTGAGTGGCGAGGGGCCACTCTGTGTGTGTTCTGTGGTTCTTTGTTCTCTCCGTCAAAGCCACTCAGAAAATCCGTTGCTCGCTCTGGGCCAGTCCTGTAAGCACAACATGTCACTGCTCTGCTAATTCAGCCCAGAATCAGAATCATTACTTGCCAAGTAGAATAATTATAGGGGAGTTTCACTTAGTGGCAACTCACAAAGAAACTTAGAGCCTTTACAGGATGTGTGGACCTCTGTGATTGTTAGATGCGGTGACCCAAACATTCATTCTGCATGTTTACCATCTTCTGTCTTTGCTAATAGGTAATAACATGTAAACATTGTGAAGTCAACATTACACCCGTGAGAAATGACCAGCGCATCGAGAAAATACATTGCTAGGTGTTGCAAAGCGGTGTGTAAATAGAGTTTGTTGACATTAGTGTATAGCCAGATTCATCACAGCTCAGCGGCAATCCTCAGGAGCATCTTTACCGAGCAAAGCCCCTTCCAAACACTCTTCATCTCCCTGCCTTACCGAGTGTTGACACAAATAGGCCCTGGAATGGGAATTCTGTGCCATTATGACCGAAGCATAGCCCTCTGTAACAAAACTAATGCGTAATTTCATCCAGGCAAATATTCATGAGAAAAAAATGGATCTCCAAGTTATTTTTTTCAAGCAATATATGTTGAAAATGGACATGAATACTGATATGGAGTGAGCGATTGTGTGCGTAGAATTCTTCAATTGATTGTGGAGGATTTGGGCAGCAGGATGTGGTGGAGACCAACCTGCTAGTAAGAGCTGCTAAAGCTGCATCAAGGACACTGTCTCTACAGACAGCAGTTATTGTATATAAAAGATAGATGCATTGTGACATCAGCCTTTTATTTGTGAACTGGTGTTTTGAATCCTCGAGTTTAAAATTAGGCTTTTGCCAAGTCTTTTGCAACCGAAAGTGGTAAGTGAGGGTGGATCGGACTGAGAAGTTTAGGACACTATGCAGGGTGATACGGAGGATCCTTGTCAATCACAAGGTATCCCAGCTCTAAAGCATACCCTGCTTGATTATCTGTTTTTAATATTATTTTTTTAAAATAAGACCATAATTTCCTAAATTAACATTATGCTGTTTTAAAAACAAGACTGTGAACTAGCAACTGAGGCCTTAAAATCATTAGGAAATTTAAACAAGGTAACAATCCAAGTGACAAACGGGGTCATTTTCTTCCAGACTTTATAGACTTAAAGACCGAAGTTTTTACTCAGAGGCTACAGCCATCGTTTTATACAGTCTCAGGCGTTTCCAAGTGCTGATGGCAGCCAACGCGACTTTCAGTGACTTTACCTTTAGTCCCGCCAGAGCAGGTTGAACCTTGTAACTTTCAGGGGCATCTGTTTTGTCTAGTTGGTTAAAGGACATCAATGGGCCACAAGTCAGTGTATTATTATGTAGTTGGGTGGTTTTGAAATACTTACTGATTTCCAGACTCTAACAAATACACAAGTTCATTTTCTTGCAGACAAGATCATTATATTTTTACATTATATTATCTTCTTTTGCTAATCTACCTGTCACATGTTTCAGGGACGATGACGACATCAATGATGTGGCCTCCATGGCCGGGGTGAATCTGAACGAAGAAAGCGCAAGAATACTCGCCACCAATTCAGAGTTAGTGGGAACGCAGATCCGCTCATGTAAAGATGAGGCCTTTCTCCATCCGGGGCTGCTACATCGACGAATTCTAGAAACAGGTGAGACACTTTTACATCACCTACCATGAAGTTTGGCAATGTTGTGACTCAGAAATGTTGAACTCTTAACACCTACAGTGAAGGGATCTGATTGGCTGTGTCAAGGTAAGGGTGCATGTTTGAGATGGAAGTGGATTCTTCCATGACAACATCCATCCATAGCGCATGAGAGGTTGCTGAATGGTTTGATGAAAATGCTGTGAATCATATGCTCTGGCCTTCACAGTCACAAGATCTCAACCCAATTGAACACAGATGGGAGATTTTGGAGCAGCGTCTCAGTCAGCGCTCTCTGCCACCATCATGAAAACACCAAATAAGTGAATGTCTTTTGGAAGAATAGTGTTCATTCCTCCAGTAGAGTTTAGAGACCTGTAGAATCAACGCCAAGGTGGACTAAAGCTGTTCTGGTGACATGTCTTTGCCCAACACCTTACTAAGACACTGTATGTTGGTTTTTCCTTTAATTTGTCACTTGTCTGTGGAATCAACATTCCAGTGGTTGCTAATGCAGCAGGAAAAATCCCCCTTGCTGTTGCAGTGATGAAATCGCTATCTGTTGTCTTTTGTGTTAGCAGCATGTTGTTTCTGTATTTATTGTGTCATCACTAAAGACAGTTTTGATTTTCTCTCCTTCAGTGGTTCAGACTGAGCCTTTTCTTGTTTGGCCTTGCTTTAAATTTGATACACTTAACAATTCTTTCACCTCCTTTAATGAATTCTACAGTGGCTGTCTGAACTCACTGGACCCCAGGCACACGCATAAATACTTTATGGGTTTGTCTTTTGAAGGCTGGCTGTCAGATTGTCCTCTGGACTAAAGGAACAGAGTTTAGAGGAATGAAACTTGACAGTGAAATTTTGATTCCTTCTCTCTTTTTAGTGGATCCTGACACTCTGATAGCACACAGTATTGCATGTGCTAATCGATACAGGCGGAGAGGTCTTGGTTTGTTTGCAGTATCACATGAGAGTGATAGTGTCTTCATTACCTCTTTGCTAGCGGCAGTCAATTTCATTGCTTGAAATATACTTAAGGCTCTTGCTGCATAGTGAAACCTGTGAAAACGTATAATGAGCGTTATTACTCAAAATAAAACTGTGCCTAGCATCTTGCTCCTGTGCATTAGATCAAAAAACACACAGCGTAATTCCACGTGACGGGGAGTCTAGCGCCCTCATCTTGTTTTATCTCAATTAAAGTATCTTTAGTGTTGCATGGAGGCCTGCAGGTCATGGTTCGTTACGTGGACTCTTGGCATGGTTGTTATCCCGTCACCTAGGGCTACAGGGGTTGTTTAAAAATATAAATCTTTCCTTAGGGGGGGCACACAGCATGATACAGGGCAGGAGACTAGGGCGCCCCCTGCTGGGGAAGTGGCACTTCTGCAGCTTTGTTGTGTCAGTGATTGGCCTTTCCACACTCGCAGCTGACAGCAGTCCGAGGGAGGCTCCCCCGGCCTGCCAGCTCCACTCAATCAGAAGGCTCGGCTGCTCCTCTTTACTGTACAAAGCACCAACTATGACTCTGGTCCCATTTACCGTTGAGCATCCCGCTATAACTTTCCTGTGACCTTTCCTGTCCTGCGCTTGCCCCCCACAAAAACATGGGTTCCAGCTTCTTCCTTTTCTTTGCTACTTCTTAATTTTCAAATCAATGCCCTAATTCCCTCTTTTGCTCCCCATCTCTGTTTCTTTAATTCTTTTTATCTTTTTCATTTTCCGCTTTATGTCTCCCCTCCTCTTTTCTCCTCTCTTATTTATCCCCTGCAAACAAACACTTGTGCCGCCCTTCTCTCCCAAACCTCTCTCACCCTCCCTTCATAACTCTCCAGGCTTGTCCTTGAGCTTGGGGGGGAGAGAGAAGGGGGACTGCAAAGCTGCAGAGCAGCACTCCACCCCCCATCTTAGGAACCAGAACACAGGCACAGCTGGAGTTCTTTAGAAAAGCTCCTCAAAGTAATGATAGTCCACTGGTACCTTGGTCCACACACACACGCACACACACACATACACACACACACATACATACATGCATGCATACGGCTTTATTGTATATACTTGCACATGTGCAGAGACACAAGAAGACATACAAGACATGGATACACAAGGAAAATACGAGTATATTAAAATGTGCATCCATGCATGGAATTTTACTTCATCTGTCTCACATATATCTTGACAATTTAATAGCTAAAGGGAAATAATAGCATTGACAAGAAAATTGTTTTATTCTTTTTCATTTGCATTTGCATGAGTTTTTAAGCAGGATTTCCTGTTGGATGTACATAATTCCTAATACAGCAATCACATCATGTCAGTTTTCACCATGAAGCAGCTATAACATGATACTGTGCAAAAAACGGGTCGACACAGGCATGTCAGCCTTTTACCCAAAGGACATGAGCTTCAGTATCTCTATATTGCCATCAGAAGGACGGGTGTACTGTTTAACCATTAAACAGTGATTTCTAATCTGTGCACAATGGCATATTTTACTGATCTTCTAATTAGTGGGGGTCTGCTTAAGATACGTTACCAACCCTATTCAATTCAATTTTATTTATATAGCACAAATTCACATCTCTCAGCACTTGACATAATAAAGAACAGACATTATGAATTTTGAACAGAGAACCCAACAATTCAGAGTTGCCTTTGGATTCCCTAAGCAGTCAGCAGCGGTGGGAATGAACAAAAAAAAACAAAAAAAAAACAAAACAAAAATAAAACTAACAAACAGGGAGGGGGGAAAAAAACTGCGACAGAACCAGGCTCAGGGAAGGCGGCCCTCTGCCTCGACCGGTTTGGGTAAGAGTGGGTATGGGGGGGTGGAGCTAGCAGAAGGGGTTGCAGTGGGGATAAAAGTTTTTTATTCTGTTTTTTTTCTTGTCTAGCATGTTAGCTTTAGGACATTACAGTCCTGGAATGTGGTTCTCCTGGTAGACTTGGCTTTTCAACACTGATATTAGCTGCCTGAGATATTTTACAGGAAACTATCACTGCAGCAACTGCTACCATTAAATTATCCATCCATCCATCCATCCATTATCTATACACATCCTCACTAGGGTTGCGGGGGGCTGGAGCCTATCCCAGCCGACTTAGGGTGAAGGCAGGGGACACCCTGGACAGGTCACCAGTCTGTCGCAGGGCTACACTTAGAGACAACCAAGCACACTCACATTCACAACTACAGACAGTTTAGAATCACCAATTAGCCTCAACATGTTTTTGGACTGTGGGAGGAAGCCGGAGAACCCGGAGAGAACCCACGCTGCACAGGGAGAACATGCAAACTCTACGCAGAAAGATCCCGGGTGTCCTCATCGGGACGTGAACTAGCGACCTTCTTGCTGCGAGGCAACGGAACTAACCACCGTGCCACCTTGCAGCCCCCATTAAATTATCATTTTTTTTAAAAAGAATTTAACAATCATTTAGTATTTATTCATCATCAGATTGTTGTATGGCTGTCATAGTTGGCATGTCTTAAATGTTGCATGGATGTTATAAAATTGTGTCTAAAAAACTTCGATTGAAGGACAAACCGCTCACTCAACAAACTTTCAAGAGAAGCAAATCATCAAGGGATCATTATACTTCGCTGAAAAGATCTACATGTGTTTTGTCGATCACTGAAAGGCATATGACTGTATTCAGCACCTTGGCTTTGGGACTACAAAAGCTTCTGGAGCTGCTTTTGTGAGTCAAAGTCCTGTGTTTTATTCTTGGCAGCACATCAAGCACATTTAAAATGGGTGTGTATGGTAACAAGGATATGACTCGACGCGAAGGCATCTCTGCCGTTTGAGAATGGAGGCATCTTTATGACTTTATAAGGCCTTGACTCCCGATGTGCAGCGGAGAAGATCTGAGCTGAGGTTTTCACGCTCAGTAGGGAGTGAAGATCGGCACCTGCAAATCTGAGGTCACGGTGGTCTCCCAGAAAAGGTGGATTTCGCAAACCAAGGGAACAAAAGCGGCTGCCTCAGTGGAATTTACGTATGTTAAGGTCAGCAGATGGTGACAGTTATGTCAAAAGTGGCAATGAAAACAACTCAGCGGATTTTGAGAGGAATGAATCACCTGGTTGCAGGTGTTATAGATATAAACTAGTCCAAATGAGCTGTTCAGGGCCTTTTCCATGTTCACTGCCAGCTACATTTCTGGGGGACTCTTGTTGCTATGGATACCAGTCAGTTCTATACTAAATAAATATTCAAGCTACCAGCCCTTAATTCAGATTGAGTTTCACCATGTGGTTTCTTTATGTCTGGTGTGTTCTAAATGATTAGCAGACATCTGTCGCATGGCCACTTGGGGCAGCAGAAACAAGCTGTGACCATAATATTGACATTTACATTGACCTTCTAAAGATTTCCCGTCCTTTAGTGGAGCTACGGAACTGTTTTTCTGCATTTTTCTTACGTAAGGATGCTCATACAGGTGGTGGTGATGTGTCAAGATACACAGCATGATTTAATACAGACAAGAAAGATGAAGACTATGAGCACGTAAACACTGAAGTAAAGAATACTGGATAAAATGAAAGCATTTGGTGTGAACCCTCATTGCTTGTAAAACCAAAAAATCCCAAATTCTCCCAGGCTCAGTGCCACTGTTGTGTGGATTTAGTGTCATTGTCTTCTGCCTCTTCATGTAATCCCAGACTGACTCCATGAGTTTGCAATCAGGGCTCTGCGGGGGCCAGACCATCTGTTTCAGGCCTTCTTGTTCTTCTTGTCTTCTTCCTGATAGTGCTGTGTGTTTGTTTTCTGCACACTGAATTTCAAACACATACCTGATGGTATAGCGTGATAAGTAACATTGCTGGCTCTGAATCTTTTGCTCTTTTTTATCTCTGTTTTTGGTCCCTACCAACAAATTATTGAATTTTTAGCTGTGTAATGCTTCATTGTGTTCTCCGTCTGTCTGCTGTTTGGTGCTGAGCAGGTAGTGAGCTGCTTTCAGAGGACGTGGTATGCGCTGCGCTCAGCCGGGTTTCAGTGCACAGCTCCTGGGAGTCAGGGGTTAGAAAAATAGTTGGAGTTTTCAAAACTTCCAGCATGATGACATCACCATCCTCTAAAGTGGGAAGCTTTCAGTTTGTTGCAAACACTTCAACACTGAAGATGAACTTGTCCCGTGCTAAGTAGCTAGCGTTAGTATGAAAACTTACCTCCCCGAGTCTCAACACAACCGCAAAGTTGTGTCATATAATTAGGGAAATTCAGATGAGTGCAGCACCAGCTTTTACATATTAGGGGTTGACTGATGTTTTTTTTCAGAGCAGATATTGACCCCATTATTAGGAATCAAGGAGGCTGATAGTCGACATTTGGAAGGATATACATTTGCAGTGAAAATTAAAATCTTGACAACAGCAAAAACTCCAGTCTCAAAAATTAAATTGAAATTCCTTTGTTGTTTTTAAAAACAAAAAACAAAAGCTTTTTCATATTTTTACGTAAAAGATAGCTTTTCCAAATGTTTCAGTGTTGATAGACTAATACCCCTGAATTGCTCGAGAGTATTGGCTGCATGAGAGCCAAAGTACCACACTTTTATATCATTAATTTAACCAGGAATTGGTAAAAAACAAAAGCTTTACAGGCAATTGGGTAAAGGCTGAATATGGTATCCAGTAATTCACCAAGCTGGTTATATGTAGTAACCTTTTAACACAATGAAAATCAATTCTAAAAGAGAAAAATACGGCAGGACAGGTTTCAAAGTGTTTGTATACAATTTCGAAGGACAAATGTAACGTCTGTGGTGGGAAATTTGCACGCATAACCTACTTTACAGCAAACTTTTATTTCATCACGTCATTATGGGCCAAAGTCGCGACAAATTCTAACGTGATTCGATAATGACACCAGAGGAAAAATCAGATTTCACCAACTTGTGAATAAAAAGAGAGATATTTCACTGGACAAACAGCTTTAAATGGTACATTCCAGGAATACTAATGTCTGTGTCACCATAAATATATGTACCATATCTCATTCTAATCCATATGAATGTTGAGATTTTTCAGCCTGGACCAAACTCACCATTGTTTCCATCCACAGAGTCGTGTCACTAGTGCAACCACAAACGCCAATTAGTGCACAGTTGGAGATATTACAACCTTTGGTGTATTTAATTTCTGTTATCTTTACTGCCATTCTAGTAGGAATTAAACAAAAATATTAAAGCCGTGCAGATCATTAGTCTGTTCCTAGCTGTTTTACATGCGTTTCCTAGGTGAAGAATAATGACTTGTATCGGTACAAGCTGAAAAATGTGTTTTGCTCTCTCTGTAGCTAAGTCTCTTAAACTTTTTCTGAAATATTAATGTCCCTGAAAGATCGTGTTTTTTAGGGAGCAGAAGCCTATTAGCGTTTTTCTTTGACCTTGTGACATTGCCACATGTATTGCCACTGTAATTATAAGGCTAACAGGGCTCCCTCCATCCGTTTCAAAGCTGGAGCGGGTGAGGAGTGTATGTATTGTTCAGCTGATTTAAATAATTGGTGTGGTTTACTTAAAAGGGTGCCAGAGAGAAAATTATGTTAATGGAATAATTTAAAAGGAAGTTGGAAACAGATAGTAACCCTACCAAAGTCTGTCCTCCTCTCTTTTGTTATGACTTCAGATGAGTTTTGCTCCGAGGAAACTAAATTATCCTTCTACGAAAAGAGATGGTCAATGTCGTTTACACACTTGAAGGAGCTTAGCTAGTAAAACCACTCTGGAATTTGCACTAAGACTGTGAAACAAATTAACTTTTCTGTGTGATGAGTCCTCTTTCTGGGAGTTAATTGCACATACTAATCCAGACAGTTCTTCTGCGTGAATGTGTGTGAGTACAGTAGGTGTGGATGTGGTGTTCCAGTGCAAGTACTGATTGGAGATCGGGGTCTTCTGTTGATGTGTTTTTATGAGTTGTCTCTGAAAATACTTCCTACCTGCTTAGCTGTTGCTTTTCTCAAAATGCCAAACTGCAGAAGCATTTTTAAGTGATGACAAAACAATGACTTTCAACCGGCTTGTTCTTGTAGTAAATCAAATGTGAAAGCGGAGAATAAATTACAGAAGTCCCTGTTGGGAAAGTGCGAGATTATGAATAAGGTGAATCAGAAATCGGGGCTTAATTATGAGAGGTAGAAGTACTGCCTGTACCTGCTGTGTGAAAAAGAGGATTTGTTTGACACTGACGTTGTTAAAGTTTGTTCTAAACATGTGTGTATTTATCCTTCACAGCTAAGAAGTTTGGTGTTACGGAGGTCCCCATGGAGGCAGTGACATTCATCTCACACGCCGCGCAGTCACGACTTCGGACTGTGGTAGAAAAAGTTTCTACGATCGCACAGCATCGACTGGACTCCTGTAAGGTAGGAGGAATGCACATATACATCCACACTAGGGCTGCAACTACTAATTATTTTAACTGCTGAGTAACCTGTCAGTTCAGTAGTTGTTTGGCCTATAAAAAATGTTAAAAATGGTAAAAAAAAAAACTGTTTAATCGGTGTTTCTCAAAGCCCAAGATGGCTCCAATGTTTTGTTTAGTGCACAACCTAGAAGTATTCATTTTACTGCCATAGAGGAGTAAAGGAACTGTAATTAGAGGATTTCACTTTTTTTCTTTAAAAATGATTTAAACCAATGAATTGATTATTAAAGCAGTTGACAATAACACACACACACACACACACACACACAAACCGCAGAGATGTCCTGAGCTGACCGCGTCGCTGTTAAAGTCAATGCATTGTTTCTAAGTGTTATGCGTTAATCCACTCTGCTTCAGCTTTCAAATTCCCAGCTGCACTTTCTAAAGCCACTTAGCCTGTTAGCTCATATAGAGCAGACAGTCACAGAGCAGGGTTGGCACTTTTTATTTATAATTTAAGTACCGTCTCCATGTGGGAAAAAAATTGAATATTCAATCTGTAATAATCCTGCAGAGGGCGTTCCTAAAATGCACTGTTTATCTCTTTGCTTTGTTCCGATAGCTTTTGAGTGACTTCAGTGAGGCATCACGAATGAGCACTACATGGTCAGGCCACATTTCATCTGCTGAGACTTACATCTATGCTCAGGCAGAGGGCACATGGGCAGGATCAAATCATGAGCAGGTTTTAAACATGAACTATGAGCGCTAGCGGACTAAGAACAGCAATGCATATGGTAAACATTAAATGACTTTACATTAAATTCTGTGTCCTTACCCTCAGTTAATGCCCTTGCACTCTCTGCAGCCAGTCATAATCCTCTTTTCACTGTTGCTTGTATTATTTTCCCATGCAACAAGATTAACAAGAATATAAACAGTCAGTAATTCCTGGATGAGTGGCTATTTCCCACTCTTCTCTCAAACCGGATGGACCTTTAAAAGTCACACTGCATGCCTGCTTATGAAGCAAACAAGCCGAGGTCCAGTTGCAAAATTTGGCTCCTGGTTCCGCATTAAAAAGAACGAGAAACAAAATCTAGTGCGACTACAGCCGCATTGTACCATCGACCACACGGGTTCCATTCAAAATAACAAAGCATGTTACTGTAAATTTCAGGCCGAGTTTATTTAGACTTGATTGGATGATATAAAACTTCTGTAATTACTAACTTTCGCAAAGCAAAATACCACCAACATGAGTTAACCCTCTGGCTTTGTTCAACCTCGACATGCACTCAGTTTGTTCGTGGCCATTTTTTGCTAAGTCTGTAAATTTTTAGAGTTTTTAAAAATGTTTTTTGCTACTTTTACTGCATAACGTTTTTAACTAACATCAGTTCTTATCATTCATATAAAATATTCATTCCTTTTTAATTTTTTAACCCTTCAAATGCCAGTTTGTTTGCGCTTGTTGCAACACAACCTCAAAAATGACCAGTGTCTATATTCCCTGTGCCACTGTTTTTTCTTGTTATATTAAAAGAACAGCAACACTGATTATTATTCGTTCTTATTTTTAAGCAGAGGGAGCAAAGTAGATAAAATTCCCACTCAGCGTGTTCGTGGCCAAAAATGGCCACCTCCTGTTTGCATTCCAAAATGCTTTAAAATGAATTTATATTAAAACATTTTTTAAAAAGTCCTGGAAAACTGTTCATGTTGTTTTACATTATATATGAGATGATAAATGGGCCAGAAGAATTGCGACATTTTGATGAACTAGGAGGATTCAATAGGATTTATTTTTTTAATCAATAAACAGTAACACAATTATTAAATGCTAATGACACTCATCCTTGCATGCAGCCGGTGCCACTGTTTGTCAAATGTCATCATTAGAAACATTAAATCTGCCACGGAATTGACAGGAGCAGACAGTGTTCTATGGGCCCAAGTGAACTGGATCATGTTGTGTAGAAGAAGTGTGGCACGAACCCGAGCATGTGTTAAAAAATACAGTAAAAACTGGTTCAAAACTCTGACGGGATTTTCAAAGTTTAAGACCAAAACTTCATCAGGACATTACAATACTCATGATGCATGATGGCATTTTTTTTCCTCTTACACATAACTCACAAATAAAAAATGCAGGCGTACGACTAAAATAAACACAAACACTGTAAGATGTACGAGTTGCTACAGACCACCAGAACTCCAACTTTTCAGTCCGTCAGTCAAAACTTTAGGTATGAAAGAATCCCAAGTGCCTGCCTGTGCACACCTGCCTGCTTTACTCTTTATTGGTGACTCCACCTCTCGTAGTCGTCGAATGTAACCATATAACCGCATTTAATTGGTATACAATAAAGCACAAAGCCACCTCCACTACAAGGCTAAACCTTTTGCATTGTTGTGAGAACTGGGGGGAAACTTTGAAAACGTGTTTTTCTTGATGCCAAGACGGGAGGATGAGGAGGGAGGGAGGGAGGAAGAGCAGTGCTACAGCTGTCCCCATCTTGTTTTCTTCTTCTTCTTCCAATTCCTTCGTTTCCTTTTTTGTGGTTTTGTAAATGAGGTGTGTGTGAGGGAGGCACGAAGCTCTGTGAAGCCACTCTGTTGACATCAGCGAAAAGAAAAAGAGAGAGAGTGAGAGAGAGAGTGAGAGAGAGAAGAGACCAAAAGACAAAGCGGCCTTAAAGAGCAGCCGGGCTTCGGCAGGAGCGGCGGCAGCAGCTACGGCAAGAGTGCAGGCTCAGCGCTGCAACAAAGAGGAGGGAGGCTGGATGAGAGAGAGAGGGAGGAAAGGGGAGGAGGGGGGTTGCCGGTGATGAGCCTCCTCTGATGTGTCTTTGTGCTCGGTGCCACTCAGCTTCACTCATCCACTCACACACACACACACACACACACACACACACACACAAACCTGACACACAGAAAAGTGATATAGAAATCAAGAGGCGCACGAGAGACGTACAGTCGCGCACACAAACATGAGAAATAAGCAATTATCCTATTAACTTTTGATGACCTACAAAAGTTGTTTTTTTTACGCTTCCCATTTCCCAAGCGGGACGTGATGCGACAAAGCGAAGCGAGGTCTGTAAATAGAAAAAAAAAGTTAATGTGTTGAAGTGTGTTGAGACTGGTGGAGCTCCAGCTGTGCTGCGTCTTAAAAGTTTGGATTCATGGTTTCACCAAATGTGCAGTAAATGTGGGCGGTGATTTTGTGTGTATGAGCAGGGCAACTACTGATCTATTGATTGTAATGATAGGTTTTAATAGTGGTGGTAGTCTGTTGTGCTTTTGTTGTATGAGAACTATCTTAGTTTATTATGTCTTTTCAACATTACAGTCATGTTCAATTAAGATCAATTAAGTAGTTTATAAATATTGCTATTTCTTTTTACAAATTTCTAGTTTCAGCATGTTATTAACTCTTATAGCAACATTTTTGCGCCCCAGAAAACTTAAAACCCAGTTATCACTACCTGCATAAAGCTGACACATGCAATTAATAACAAGCTGATGAATGTACTGGAACACTGAGCAGGTGAATAGCCAGAAATCATTAGAGACCAAAAAAAAAGAACTAAAAGGAAAGTAAGTATTCACCTGTGAGTTGAATATCTTTTGGTTTTCGACTGTTGGCTGTGCAAAAGAAGTAACTTCAAGACATATTAAGCGTTTTTGATGTGCAGTAATCACAGTTTTCAGGCTTAAATTACACTAAATGAATCTGTTCCAGGATCGAGGCTAGTGGGTTACTGAGATGGAGGTTCAGCAGAAGCAGCACCAAAGCTTTGGAGCAGAATTCACTCGTTTAATCGACACTTTTAAGAAAAATCTGTTCTTGTTTTCAGTGGCTTGTGTTGCTCTTAATGCTCTTTATATTTTACTATTTGGATTTTATTTTAAAATTAGATCTTAAAAGTTGTTATACTATTTTTTAAGGTGTTTAATATTTTATCTAGTTTTACAAATGGACTTTTCCTCTTTTCTGTCTTGTGTTGTGCACATATTTTTGTCCTACAACATGTGCAGCATTTAGAACAACTTGTCGGTTTAAATTGCGCTTTATAAATACATCTGATTTAATTTGAAAAAAACAAAATCAGGTAAAAGAACTGCTTACACATTTAATATTCCTACTTTTTTGAGTGTCTTTAGTCTGTGATCTTCTCATTTTTGTCACTGATATAAAAAAAAATCACTCAGATGTAATTTTTCTTCAGATTTTGAGATGTGTCTTCATGTATGTATAAACCGCCGTGAAGTTCGGCCAACGCCTCAGAAGCAGCCACTGATAGGGACTCGGAGCTTTGTTCTGCTGTTACGGTTGCAGTAATTTTCTCTCTATCTGTTTGTCAGGACGACGAGTGCTACGAGCAATCCGCAGACGTTCGCTCTCAGCTTCGCTTCTTCGAGCAGCTGGAGAGAATCGAGAAGCAGAGGAAGGACGAGCAGGAGAGAGAGATCCTTTTGAAAGCCGCTAAAGTAAGTTACTGTCACCTCACCATCCTGCTATGTGCGGGTGTGTGTGTGTGTGTGAAAGTTGTTATGTCCCCATGCAACAGTGTGGTGCTTGTGTACTGGTGTATGTGTGTGTGTGTGTGCATGTTGCTCTTGTGCAGGCCCTGACAGATGAATTAGAGTGTGACACCAGTGGATGAAGTGACCTCCCTGTGTCCTCCCAGGCTCCTGGCCCCAGGGCTCCTCTGTCCTGGCTCTTCCTCCCCGGACACAGCGAGGAGGGGGAGGAGGGGAGGGGGCGACGCCGTACACTACGCAACCCTCATGCAGCATGCAGCCAAATCACACACTCACATGTGCAACCTGCAAAACATCCCTCTATCACAAGCGCTGACAGCTCAGGTGAAACTGCATCAGTTTAAGGAAAAAAACAAAAAAGTATGGATTTGTTAGAATGTCAGATCAGGTCAGTCGATCTATCAGCGTATCTTGCTTTTACAGATGTTTTTGTAAACATCTAGTGTCAAATCGGCTTTTGTCAGGATAAAAAAAGTTCTGCCTTTTTTCCAGTTTGTTTGGAATTAATAGCATTAGTGACTTATTTGCTCTCTATCAGTAGAAATTCCCAGGAAAAAGGCTATAAACTGGCTGCACTGCTGAATTGACAGGTGGTCTGGAGAAACAAATGTACTACAATCTGCAATTGTCATAGAATACAACTTTAAGCAACAAGAATTCTGCCTTTTTTTTTTTTTCAAAACACTACAAACCTAAGGCAAAATAAATAAAAAAAAACTGACAAAAAATCTTAAAAGGTGTGTAGGTGCAAGGCTATTTAGACGCCAACAAAATAAGCCAGAACAATGACTCCAAGCCACTTGTTTGTTTTTTTTTAGAAAGTATTTTCAATCCCTGGTGGATCTTCCTCTGGTCAGAAATTGCATTTGACCTGTGCGGGCCAAATCAGTGTGAAGGCGTTACTTTTCTCAAATCTGAAAAAAATAATCAGTGAATCAACAGATGCCTCTTTTTGCACAAGTTGTTTGCTTCTAGTCCATTTTAAGATTTTCACAGTAAAAGCTTCTAAATATGTAGTTCTGACACACTGTGATGGGTTTTTAGGAATTTAATCAATCACCAGCGAGGGGCTCTAACTGGTAAACAAATCACTTCAAACACAACAGCAGAGGCTCCATCTAATAATCAACAACCCTTAAAAATCATGTTGGTTTGTTTTTGTGCCTCCTTGGCAAATACTCTCTATTGTTGTCGATGCTGTCAGCTGATTGTATGAGGTTCTGTTTGAGTCAAATAACACTGAAGTTTAAGTGAGATGTGTATTAGAAGGTTCACTAGCTGATGTATGAATGTACAGTGGTTGAAAATGTTTATACATTCAGATTTGCAGCTCACTCATAACATCTGTGTGACTACAAATATAATTTAATGGCATAAACTACAACAAACTGTCAGAACTGGTGAGCAGTCCTTTAGGTAATAAGTATGTCTCCTTATTACAGTATGTAAGTTACATTTTGTCCTTTGAAAAGACTTTAAATTGTTCCTGAGTGAATGTTTCTTTAATGCAGTTGATATATTGATCTGGAGCTCATCGTGACACAAGAACAAGAATACCTGCACTTACGTTAAATAAGCATTAAACCGACTTATTTCCAGCAAGGTTCCAGTAGCAGTGACACCTGTCCAGTTTTCTGATCTCAGCTGTCTGCGCGTAAAGATATTTGTCTCAGTGAAATAAGGTCTTCAAATTTAGAAAGATCACCGCTGACCAAAAAAAAGAGAGAGAGAATCTTTTGCAAATGAAAATGCCCCGCAGTGCAACATTAGCAGAAAGCTAGGTTAATTTAATTAATTTTGAATGGAGCCAATGTCCCACAGTAAAGATTCTCATTGCAGCACACCTCACTGTCTTAATTGCATTATTACGCTCCAGTCCTGCCATGCAGGATATTAGAAAATCCTCTGGTTGATGAACACTGGCCACCAAACCTCATGACCTGTCTGTTTTTTCCTTTAGGAGCAACCTGCTGTTCGGTTGTGAAAAAAGACCCTGCCTCAGCAGGAAACAACTCTCTAAAGTGTGTTGTTTAAAGCAGCTTTTAGATCCTCTTTGTCAGTTCTCTGTTCTACTTGGTTGAACACTCTAATCATTTTTTTTTTTTTTTTTTTTTTTACTGTGGAAAGCTCGCTTTATTAACAGGATTAGTGAAGAACTTTAGCAAATGTAGCCAAGTTCTTGTTGGAAGGGCGTACCTTGGGGCTATTTGGATTGCATGAGCCTCGTTGAGGAAAGTTTGACTTCACCTCAGAGCCATGTCTGTGGCTTTTTGGCTCCTGTTGCCATGGCGTTTCAGTTCAAGGAGAAGTTTGGAAAACAACTCTTTGCCTAATGACTGTACGATATAGTACACAGACGGTGCCTGATAACACACCAGTAGTTTTCCTACTATTTAATCATGTACGCTGTATCTCACATCTTTTCCCATGCTATTGTATAGGCACAAACATTGCTAATGCTGCTTTGTAATCTGCAGACACTGTAACCGGCCGATTTAAGGCAACAGCAGGAGAAATCCATCCTAAAACACTTAAACACTGTTAGAAAATGAGTGATGGTCTAACCTGATTTTGGTTTCGATTTTTCTCACTTTAAGTGATGCACTTTAAATGTCATGTTTTTAACTCAGTTCTCTCAAATCTGAGAGGGTTTTTTTCTCGTTGTTCACACCATTTCAGGTTCAGCCATCATTTGGGAAAAAATCCATCACTGAATATGTTAAAGCTCTCAATGCTGCATAATGTTATGCAGTCAGAAGACACATTGCATAATATGTTTTTTTTACGCTTACAATTTCATTAAAAAAAGAGACAAATATTTAAGGTGATGCTTCGTATTGTAGATCGGTTTGTAGATATTCATTTCGTCCAATTTCTGTAAAGGAAATAAAAATCAGCATTTTAATAAATATATTTATCAGTGATTACTGCAGGAGGAATAGCAAGTTTCACCCACCGGGCTTAATATTTGGGAGAATATATTGACAGAATATTCAATATCAAGTTAACTTTCCACATACAACCCACAGCTTAATGAAACAAGAACAACCCTCTGGTGGTTTTCATAAGTAATTCTGGGCAAAGTTAGAGACTAGTGCAGGTAAAAAAAGACACAAAAAAAACACCATCAAGTTGCAACATCACAAACACTCCTGGAACACATCCACTGTCACACACTGATGTACTGTACAACACTGTATTATTTAAGTACAGTACACACATTACGCCTCACCCAACACAGCTTGTCAGCATCTCGTGTCCAGTCCTGTTCTCCCCTTCTCCCCTCTGTTCTCTCCTGTAAGTGGGGAAACCAGGGCAGCTGACAGAGGAGATGTAAAGCATGCCAGTGGCACCGCTGCCCTTTGTAAACAGTCCATCTGTACCTACCCCTCCCACTCCTCCGCCCCGCCACCTCCCTCCCTGCCTGCCTCTTTCCTGCTCGAGCGCCCGCTAATTTGACCTCTTGAATAAGAAACCCGCCAAAATAATCCCTTCCACCCCCGTCTCCTCTGCTCCTTCCTTCGCAGCGAGCCCTCCCCTCCGCTGTGCCGGCCATTTAAAATATGACTCAAGTCTTGAGGGATGCTCTGGCCGACTGGAGGGCAAACACATTAGTCTTAGTTGAGATACCGACCAGTACGTGAACTGCCTGATATATTTAAAGCCAATTAGCAATAAGGCTAGGAGGAGCAGCTCTACGTCCACGGGACGAAGGAGATGAGGAGAGGAAGGATGCTGAGGAGGGAGTGAGGTGTCCTGTGTTGGAGCGAGGCCCAAACCTGCTCTGAGTGATTTGGTATTGGATGTTAAAAAAATAAATAATTGATTTTTGGTTGCATGTTGTACAGACTTTATTATTATTTTATTGACAATTTCTTCGCATAATACACATTTTTCTAACGTGTCATTTAATTCATCAGTTCCATCATACTTCATTTTGGACCAATACCCTGAAATGACACTTGAACATTTGCCAGACAGTGAGTTGAAGACGCGTTTCAACAAAAAATATTAGCCCTGATCATGAGCCTGACCTAATTTTGGTTAATGCGGCAAGAATGAAAGTGTACAGATTATGTCTATATTCACAAACAACACTCGGTTAGTGTGTAGTACCATAATCTGCCTGTATCGCCTGCAGTGGTCAGCCGTACATGTACTGTTGGCTGTGTGGTGAAGGATTCCCAGGGACAAGTACATTCACCCAGATCTTAGCTGCTGATTAAAATAGAAGTGCTGTGTTGTTACGCCAGGGACACACACACACACACACACACACACACACACACACACACACACACACACACACACACTCACACACACAGCAACGGATGGCCACACTGGCTCACAGTGACACACAGACAGCCACTGCCACTGATAGTCACCAACATCCTTTCCCCTGCGTGTGTGTGTGTGTGTGTGTGTGTGTGTGTGTGTGTGTGTGTGTGTGTGTGTGTGTCTGTGTGTGCTGGCTCCTGCAGAATTTTTAATAACCTCTTTTGATTAGAATCCCCCTCCAGCGGCTTATTTAGGGCTGGATTTGGAGCGGGTTTAAAGGCCACTGCCCCCCGGGGGGCGCTCCATTGCACTTCTCTGAATTCAAATACGATGTCCTTGACACCTCTGTATCCTGTTCCCATTTTGCACTATTTTTGCTGCAGCAGCAACAGATGAGTAGCGAAGGGGGAGGTGGGCTCCTTAAACCAGCTGTTAACCTGTGTTTTTCCCCCCCTTTTACTCCACAGAGTCGCTCCAGGCAAGAGGACCCAGAGCAAGCTCGACTGAAACAGAAAGCTAAGGAGGTAAGCTGCTGCGGAGATCATTACCCTTGACATTTCCCCGACTCCAGCGTATTAATTTTTCATGCCTCACTACATATGTAATGCCATTTAAAGTCGGACTTAAAAAAGTTTGAGGAATTATTCGCGCCGATTGATGCCCGTGTGTGGAAAATGATTTTCTGCGCACCCTCCACTTCGCCCGCCCCTCTGCCTTTTTTTTTTTTCTCTTTTCTTCATCTATATCAGCCTCTTTATCTTGCACCAGTTTTGAATTTTGACTAACCACTGTTCACTGAGCCCTGCCTCTTTTTTTTTGGAGGGGGGAGATGGGCTATCAGGGGAAATGTATACATGGGATGACAGTCTTTGTAGGTTTATTCGCCATTCATTTTCTCTTCTCAGTCACTTTTTGTGCACTTTTGGCACATTCATTTTATATGGATTTCGGTGTCACATAAAAGTATGTTATCTCCCAACTTTCTTGGTGCCAAGCCACATTGTAGCTCAAAAGAATAATTCAAGAATAATGAGTCCATTGGCACAAATACATAGTTCAGTAAAAGCCTTAAAGCATATGTACCAATTCATTCTCCGTATTAACTTAACTGCTACAAAGGAGTAGGAAGACTTATTTCCTTTTCCAATAGGCCAAAGCACAACACTTAGCGTTGCAAACTGGGAAGTATTTCAACTGATATAGTGCACGTCTATTTGGAAGTGCAGCTCTATATCCTCTTTATAGAACGAATTCCCGGTGGAACTCAGAAAGTAGACCACTCGTCTTTTAGTGTTAGTTATTGTTGTTTACGCAAACGAAATTGTTCTTTCGCAGCGGAAGTTTGCGTTTGTTTTTCTTTTTCTTTCTTTTTCTTTTTTGTTTACGCCAGAACAAACTTCAGTGGGTGCTTTCAGTCCTTGGCTTGCTCGCAAGGATCAAGAGGACTGTGTGGAGCTTCCATAGCGCCGTCTGAGTAGGCAGGAGGATAAAACGAGCAGCATTCACCTGTTGTTGTTTTTGTTGATGTAGAACTTAAGGAGCAGATGTGGTTTGTTCTAAGTTGCCTACTCTTTTCTTAAAAAATAAAATAAAATAAAAAAAAGCCTCCGATGTACGCAGGTAAAGTTTACTAAGCACGTTTGCACTTTTCTCACTAATTTATCCTCGCGCAGTTCTACACTTTCCCACCCGACAGCTCCACTTTTAATATTACATTTAGGCGTGATTGTAAATGTCTTGTTCAAAGGCGACTCCTGCATTGTTGTCTGGCCAAAGAATCACATTTTTAGGATGCTTGTAGCCAGTCTGTGGCGTTGAACTTGTGACCTTCAAGTGACAAGTCGGCCCGGCCCTCCTCCGGCTCTGTCTTCTCTCTGCGTCTCTCCTGGACATTTCTTTCTAGCAACTGCGAGCCCTGCTGCAGTTTAGAACATTCGCACTAGATCTCAGCTTACCCATAAGCCCCACATATGCAAATGAAGCAGCGTAATAGGCAGCGCGATAGGTTTGCCCCAGGGGCCATGTGATCAAAGTGGATCTCCTCCCTGTTAAGTGGCAGTCCGCTTGTCATCTGGATACGGCCAGATTAGTGCCTCGTGAGGAGATGCTGCCGCGTGCACGTTTGCACATTTTCATTTTCATCTGGAATTTTAAGAAGGTGGTTTGGAAATTGTTACTTTATGTAATGCTTTCTCCCGCTAGATAGGGATGAAGAAGACTCTCCAACCTCCACCTCCCCCCCCCAACAACTCCCACATACACACACACACAAAACACCCCTCTTCCACCCTCCCTCACCTCTTTCTTTTTTGCTTAATGGCCGTCGTTTCTCAGCCCCCGTGCCTCTCCGGTTTTCATCACCTGACTGGCTCAAGGGGACAGAGCTGGCTGTTTGTGTCACTGCAGAGTCTGTCGGCAGCTCACACATCTGCGCAAATTTCATCAGGATAATGAGCCCGAGCTACTCTTCCAGGCGACGGGCAGAGGAGCCAGCCTCTCTTTAAGCCCCCCTTTTCCCCTGATCACGCACAGACACACACACACTCATACGCACACACACACACACAAAGCAACCACCACCACCAAACAATCATCATTTTGGAGAGATGGAATTACGCCGTGTTATATACTTGAACCAAGTGTCGGCGTGTAAATTGAGCTGGCGCATGATTTGTTTTTAAAAAGCCAGGTACAGTGTGATGTGGAACCGCTGTTGCAGACCTGAGTCTAGTCTGAATTCAGACCACCAGGTGTTTAAACCGTAACCGGCCAACGAGTGGGATGAATGGCGAAGCTCAGGTTGAATTTCATGTCCACACAGTTTTGTTTCCATGGTCTGAAATAACAGAAAATTTGAGTTTACAGCCTGTGCTACCTGTATGCTTTGGCCTTTGATTTAAATTAAGGAGAAATTACACAGAAAAGGGGACAAACCACAGGAAAAACTCCCTCAGTGGTTTTAGTAACTAAGGTATTTTTTTGTTTAAGAAAGACAAACAGCCTTTAGATCCGTGCAGACTGTGTAGTTGGTCTTTGAATGGTTCACTTTAAATCGCAAGCTTTGCTCAGAGGCTCTCTTTTAGCCTGGTAGAATAACAAAATTATTAGTTCTCACCATTTCGCGGTCCATAAATATTAATGACAATAAGAGCAGCTGAGTACGAATACAAAATAAAAGTTGAGATTAAATAGATTGTTCCTTTAGTTTTGTTACCTGAGTGAATACATTAGTAGAATCCGTCACCTTCTTAAATCCAAATGTCACCCCCTGAGCTCTCCTTTAGTGCAAGGATTTTCAAAGTCTGACACTCTGCGCTATAAAAGTATGCCAAATGAGCTATTAGCAGTTCCTGCAAAGCACACACGGATGCGCAGACACTTATTACTGGCTTACGAGATTTCAAGAAAAACATCTGAGGTAATGATATCCTGGGAAAGTGCAGGTCACACAAAATCACAAATGATGTGTGTTCAGATAGAGTTGCCTTTCAAGGATTCTTTATTGTCATACCAGGACACGTTTCCACACGACATGGCATGGAATTAGTACTCGGGTCTTGGTTGTACGCCAAAAGAAATAAATAGAGAGAAATAAGGAAAGTAAAAATAAAATTGAAGAAATAAGGGCAATTGCAAGCACTACAAAAACCAAATAAACAAGTGTTTACCAGCGATAAACAGATAAATAAATAGGTATGCGTGCAAAATGCGGTTGATTGGGTTTTAAGTTATACTATGCTGTTTTGACACTGGTAAAGAACATGAACTTTGACACCAGTTATATCAAGACATTATTACTTGTTCTTACTTCCCACCATGCACCTGTTCCTTTCACCTCACACAGTACGGTCCAATCGCAGTCCGCACCCGAAGGCCTAATCACCAAACCCTCTCAGACTTAACTAATGTCACATCTGTTGCGCTTGAGTGTCTGAGGGCTCAAGATGGTATAAAAAGTAGGAACGGCAGCACATGTTGTGAACAGCAAGTCGCCATTAAAAGAAATAAAATGTTGACTCGCGTTCATTCGCAGTTTGATCAGCTGCTCAGTCAGTCACACCCTCTTAGTGACATGACAGTGTTTATACATTTTATCAAACTACTACAAGTCAAGAAAACCAGCAATATCTGTAAATCTTATGCATTCGATTGACAAATGTGCAAAAAATAACCACAGCAGTGAGCAGCCAGTTAGTGTCACTGTCTGATAAACTTCCTATCAGATATCCTCCCTCTGCCGTCTATACTTGCTTTGTGTGGATTCTGTTGTACATCACCAGTGTTGCTACTAACTATCAGTAAGTCAACCCTTTACAGTTTGATGCTGGGACAGTCCAAAGCCTTAATGTGCTTTGTGGTAAAACCCCTCAAAGTCTATCTTTGTCTCACTTCAGTTTGAAAACTTCTCTGTAGACCAAAGCCTTCCTTCACTTGCAGTACAGAAAAGTGGAAATTGTAAAGGCAGGTTCTTGTGACATTTATCAAACACATTAACGCTCCCTAGTGGATAAACCTTTTCCATTTTTGAGCAACCTAGGAGCTGTCTGCTTGCACCGCCCTCGTGCCAAAATTCTAGCTTTACTCACAGAGTATCTCATATTATAACAGACACTTTGTTCTTAAGTTTACAGAGAGAAGATCTGTGCTTCTTAGGGATAAAATCTTTGTTTTTTAATGATTACAAAGTCTTTTCCACTAGACCTAACCTTAGGACAGACTTAACTAGGACCCAAGAACACCAACATCATCAGTACAGTGCTCTATCCAATAGTTTGTATTCTGGGTTGTAAGGAACATTGTAGGCTCTGGGTGTTCCTAGCAGGGCTGTAGGATTTTAGTTTTGTATATTGATGCAGCCGTGCCTCTAATTGTGTTTTTGTATTTGCACCAGCAACCGAAAATACAACCTTGTCACCAGCAGTGCAGGCTGGTCAGATAGTTGCTGGCAGAGGTTTTGCGTGAGAGATAGGCAGAGCGCCTCTGTTTCCCTCCATTCACTACCATTTGGCCAAAAGGTCAGATGGGCTATTTCAAAAATGCCCCCAGTGAAAATCAATGGGCAAATCGTGGAGCTCAGTTCCTGTTTGTTGTTGTTGTTGGTGGGTCTGTGTGTTCTGTCTGTTCCATCACTGAGGCAGGGGCCAGGCAATGCCTAATCATTGAGAGTGAGAGAATGAGAGAGAGAGAGAGAGAGAGAGAGAGGGAAGGAGACAGAGAGACAGAGACAAAGAGATGGAGAGAAAAGGAGACTGGGGGCAGGGGCAGAGGGGCAGTGCAGAGATAGAGAGGGAGTTAAGGCCAGTAGAGATACATCACGATGTCAGACACACAGACACACTGCAGCCACAGATTCATCATCGCAACCGCGTCTGCAGGCGCAACTGGACGCAGGAAACAAGTGAGCTGGGGAAGAGGAGTGGAGCGAGGACAGGAGAAGAGAGACGAGGGAAGAGGGGAAAGACAAATTGGCTTCTACGGCCGGCCAAAATCTCCCGTTGGAGTCTGTTCAGTTCCAAAGCAAACA